TGCAGAATCAACATCAGTCTTTCATCTGGCCTGGGGCGGGTTATCCGGGGGCCGTGTTTATAAGACTGACTACGTGGAACAACGGGAGCCTCAACTCCCCCACGTAAAATGCTTCCAAACTTACAACAGAGTTATAAGCTGGAAGGCTAATCAAGGGACCAAACAAACTCCTTCACTTTCGATTTATAATATTTGGTTATTAACAAGGGACTATAACTAATTGTACCTATATTGCTACTGCACTAATACACGTAAACGTAGAAGGTAAAGTCGTCCCTGCGCTCGTCACCCTAGCACTACGCCCCGGCCGCTTTAACCACGGAACCCATTCGATAGGAGACTTCATGAGCCCCAGAACCAGTCTGGTCGCTGTGTACAAAATAAATATCCTTCCCCCGTCGGAGGTAGGTACACTTTTAAACGTATGTGTCGTTTTATAAACCCCAATTCACAAGTCAGTTACACATTCATATCCCATCCACCCCGGATAACTGGGAGAGACATTCGTACTCCTGTTGCTCCCTCTGGAGCATATGGCAACCGCGAAACGCTTCGTTTCACTTCAGTTTCTCAAACTCGAGACAGTCAGCAGGACTCCTTGGGCGGGGGATCAGCCCGTCGCAACCTGCACAGGACAACACAAACAGAATAAACGTAAACACCCAAGCCTCGAGTGGGATTCAAACCCACGACCCCGTTGTTCCAGCGAACGAAGACAGTTCACGACCCTAGATCGCGCGGCCATCTGATCGCCTGATTGTAAGAGTGCGGCCCGTTTCTACAAGGCTAGCGGCACGTCTGTCACGTCCCTGTCGCCAAACAAATGAATGTGCAAACATTCGTATCACGGGAGGGAGGGGTTGCGTAACACAACACACATCTGTGATGTTGTGGAACAGAAGGTTAAGTTAATGAACGCCTCTTTAGGAGAAGAAACGATTTCCGATGTTCCTGCATTACCGCACCGAACTCGGCACTTCTTGTGCTGAGGGGAGAAGCCACCAGCCTTCAGTTGCTGAGGTCTCGGGTCACACTTGCGGTAGGTCCAAGCAGGCCTAGTAGCGGCGCAGGAAACTCTGGCAACAGGGCACATACCTGGGGCAGTCCGCCCGTCACAAGTGGGACACCGTGCAGTCCGACACAAGTTTGCCGACGTCTACGGTAAATTACGTCGGTGAACTTGGTCTCAAACCCAAACCACTCACAACATTTTGAACAGCAATGCTCATGGCCAGAGACAAAACTGCGGTCAGTCGGTATAGCGGCGGGGTAAAGGCCGGAGTTCGTTTCCCGACAGGTACAAGGGTTCTACTATTCTCCACGGCGTCCAGACCGGCTCTGAGGCCCACCCACACTCCCATCCAATAGGTACCGTTGTCTCTTTTCCCGGGAATAAAGCGGCAGGGGTGTGAAGCTGACCACTCACCTCCATCCAGTGCCGTGGTCAAGACTGGTGACCCTATACCTCCACTCCCCATACACCGTCACAATTTTACTTTATTCCACGATGCTGAATAGCGAGAATTGGCAGTCACTCCTAAGAACAGTAAGGTTAAGGTATTCCTAAGAGATCACTGTAAACATCGGCCGTTGCTAAGTAACGCCAGCAACATTCATGCACGCAATAACAGAACAACGGGGTTATACAACCTGTTTCTAAGCAGCTGCTTGGTGAACACGTTCACGCGGAAACGAGGCTCACACAATACAGTTACAATGGAAACGGGGGTGTTTTCTGTTGTGTCCGGCCCGAGGCTACATAGCGAGGGCCCCAGACCGGCTGAGGCAGTTCAGTTTAAAGTCAGCCGTTGAAGAAAAGACTAGGAGTTTGATGCGAAATGGCGGCCAGCTTCGGACACAGTTACCTCAGTTGTCGCCTGACAAGAGCAGTTCCAGGAGTGCAGCTGTTGAATGAAGACTATATGCAGGATCTGGAGTGTGTAATTCAGTGAGACTGTTATAGTTCCTATGTTAAATCCGTTGCCAGGAAACGGCTAGTGGTGAATGTAAGAGACTGAGGACACTATGTCAGTGATCTGTAAAGTGTAATTCCGAATAGTGTATACAAGTGGTCAATAAATCCATTTACGAATCCACACCCCGTCTACAGTCACACCCCTAAATCATGACAGTATGCTTTTACATTGAATAATATCGCGGATGGTTTAGAAAAAAGAATTCTCATTCCAGAAAACAGTGCTCTTCGGGGTCATCGCTACAGGATCCTCAAATCCACAAAATCGTCTCTCACAGGGCCGGAGATACAACCGGAAGGAAACACATGACTCGTGCTTCCTGTGACATAACACTCGTTACAATCACGGAAAATTCCGTCCTCAGCCATGGCAGCTGCACTTGTCCGTTATTACAGCACTGAAGAAGTTCTGCAGGTTGCAGACAACGGGGGCTAGAAACAGGAGATGAAGAGTCACAGGATTGGGACCGGTGACGAGCAATCGTAAAAAAAAGGCCCGAGTTCATCATGGACTGAGCACGGGGGGGGGGGGGTGATTTTACTCCGTCCAGTATCCAAAACTAGTTCTAAAATCGACATGACGCATTTCCTTGCCTTGGCTGTTCACGGTTAATTTAACGATTTTTTCAATAGCACGGATTATGCTACATCAAATGATAAACTGTAAAGGATCTGGAAGCAAGCGGCCATTGTATAATCGTGGCACTATCCCAGCATGTAGCTGGGGGGACCGAGGAGAACCACGAGGAAGAGACATATTACAATGCTCAGCTGCCATACAGAAGACAAATTGGAATGTAAAGTGGTCACTTAGGTTCATTTGGCACAGCTGCATGAAGATGTATAAGGAAGTGGAGGTATAGCTCCATGCATATTAAACTTCGGCACTAGATGGAGTGGTAGGCTTCACGTTCCGGCCGTTTTACAGTGGAAGAAACATCCCCTTGTGCCCATTTAGATAGAAGGCTGGATGGGCTCCATGCTTCGGAGCTGTGGCAAAAAAAAAATCTCTTACGCCTGCGAGAATCGAACCCTGATACCTCTGTCACTCTGCCCGTAGACTGGTCACTTTATCTAGTGGTCTATCCCCGGCAATGGCAAGGATTTTAATTACGCGTAGGATCAACTTCACTCGGGAGCAGGGATGGCGCAGTCGGTACAGCAACTAGCTACGGGCTGGATGTCCGAGGGGTCGGAGTTTGAGTGCCGGTAGGAACAAGATTTTCTCCTATCCAAGTCGTCGAGACCGGTTCTGGTGCCTACCCAGCCTCCTATCCAGTGACTACCTGGGACTCTTTCCCCGGGGGGTAAGGCGGAAGGGACGTGAAGTTGATCACTCACCTCCAACTAGTGCCGATGTCAAGAATACGTGAATCTATACATCCACTCCACCACACGTATTCATGGCATGGTGCTTGCTTCATTCTTATGTTGCCATTAAAACAAGTACAAAATGTATGACCAGGTCTGAACATCCCAAACCGTGCACACAGTGCGTCTGTGAGCACAATAAACAGCGGCTGTTTCCCTAGCAGCATTAACCGGCTGCAAAGCAGATGCAGGGTTTTCAGTGAGGTACGAACTGTCTATCCAAGTACCGTTCCGATGGCTCTCATGCTTCAGTTGCCTAAGCGATGTTGTCTTAAACCACTACGGCTACAGACACGAAATTCCGTGTCATTATCCCTGGTTATACCAATGAGGCGACATCCTCAGTTTAGAGCTCAAATCGATACAAGAAATTTCGACTATATGCAGAGTTTTATCATGAAGATGGCGACAGCAGACTACGTATTACTTGCACGCTATTATAACAAAACCACCTATCGGTATTCACGGGCATAGCAAACCTTAAATTGTGTAAACCCATGAACAGATCGAGAAAAAAATCAGATTGTTCTGGATAAACCCTGCAGATGGGAGGGAGACGCTGGTAGTTTGTGGTGCTATCTGTGTTTCAGTACAGACTCATAACTTTGGGACGATACGCAAAAATATTCTTAAACTGCCCTAAGTTCATAAGCAATTTTTTTCTGGCTGCACTTCCCGACCCTACCCAGAAAATCATGACTGTGCCCTTCGGCCAACCCAAAAAACTATATACTGTATACTTTGTACCTCCACCACTGGAAAAACAAAATCTTATCTAAACGCAAAAACTCACTCAAGGTTCACATGTAACTGTAACCTTTCCATTTCCTTGGGAGATAATACGGCAATATGGCGGCAAAACATGTCCGACCACGTGTCACAGCTGAACTGCCACCTCAAGGATCCAACTGTTCCACTTTTCATCATAATCATCATGAGAGACAGTTTTCATTAACAAGTAGCCAGAGCGAAATAACAGATTCATTCCCCACCCACGGTACGGCACCTGTGCAGTGACGAGAGACAGTTTTCATTATCCGGTAGCCAGAGCGAAATAACAGATTCGTTCCCCAACCACATGCACTGCATCTGTGCAGTGACGAGGCTCCATAAGGATCGCAACTGCACGCTCCACACAGCAAAAGCCTCTACAAGAGAGGTCAAGAAAACGTGGGTCCATACTTCCACTCCCCCATGCGTCTTCGTGGCGTAGTACTTAATTAGTTTAGCTCAGCGCCTTTAGCTTTTCATGATCGCATCCTTCCACACATTTCCCGATTCATTATTTCGTGGCACTAGCTTCGCCGACAAGCGGCGGTAGCTCGGTCGGCACAGTTCGCTTGCGGACTACATGTCACGGAGTTTTTTATTGTTGTTGTTGTTGTTGTTCTACCGTTCCATGCTATAATCTGATACCAAATGGGTCATTAATCCTTTACAGTAATGGTTACTATTCATACCACATGGTTTACAATAAAGAAAATCTGTGCAGCATGTCCAACAAGTGATTCGCACGGTTCTCACAACAGCGACTGTTTCCCCATACAGCACTAACCGGTTGGACTTTGTAGTGGAGACATTGTGTTTCCTGTGAGGTACGAACTAAAGGTCATATATTTACGCCAATAAAATTTCAGCAGAAGTGTGTACTTACGTTCGGCTGTGGTCGGGTGCATAATCGGACGATTTTGTCTTCACAACAGCTCAGTAAGTCAGTGTTTCCGATGCCAGGTGCGTCCAGTATATACTTTATCACTAAGTAAACACAGAAATAGGGTCCTGGGTCGCGAACAGAATAATGCCGAGTACAAGGCAGATGTCACTGCAAGGAAGCAACAACCTCCACCGAAACCCACGCCGGCTGAAACTGAATTGTGGAACACGAACCACGTCTGGTTCAGTCTGTTGTCTGGTTGACGGACCTAGCGACTCACGTGACTGAGCCGACTTTGTTCTCCTCCCCCCGGCGGTGGTTTACTTGGCAACGCTCCGGTACTGAAATGCTGCATGAGAGAGGTTACTATACTTTCAAAAAGAAGATTCTAGCGGGTTCTGACGGTGGTGGATGACACAGAATTATTGGGGTTTTCGACTTTTTCCATCGTCCGGAATTCTAGGTAACAGAGGACACGACGTTTCGGAAACAGATCCCGTTTCCGAAACGTCATTAGCTCTTTCTAAGGGGCCCAACTGAGTAGGTGTCTTCCTTTCTCACCTGAAGACGGAAACAGATCCAGTTTCCGAAACGTCGTTTCCTCTATTACCTAGAATTCCGGACGATGGGAAAAGTCCACAACCCCAGTAATTCTGTGTTTCAAAAAGAAGCTTCAAAAATACAAAAGACCTAACCGGGTGGGGGGGGGGTGGAGGGGGAACCGTGCATTTTCCTACGGAGATGCCTCCCAGGTGGAGGCAACAATTAGTTCCTATATTCCGACAAAAAAGAAACACTGCGGTGACATTCTAATGGCCAACCGGTTAGATTTAACACGTGGTACGTATAGTAACCACGGTTTTAGGGGCATTAGTGAAAGTGCATTTCATATCGATAACTTAACGACTTACGTCATCAGCACAACCGATACTTTGGGCACGAGATGCAAGCATATCCCCAGCCGAGGGCTCTTTTGGGCAGAAATGTAAAATTAGAATAGGTAAAAAGTTGTCCCTGCGCTCAATTAATGAAGCCCCACGGCATGCAGATGTATTGGTGGAGCGGAGGTATAACAATATCATTCTTCACCTCTTCACTAGACATGAGTGGTCAACTTCACGCCCCGGCCGCTTTAACCCCGGGGAAAGAGCCTCCGGCACCCATTCGATAGGAGGCTGGTTGGGGCTCCTGAGCCGATCTAGACGCTGCGGAGGGAAACTTCTTGGCCCCGTCGGGAATCAAACCCCAAATCCTTCGGCCGTCCAGCCCACAACCAGCGGATGTACCGACTAAGCTATCGTGGCTGCTAACAAGTACACATTCCCAGTCATGCCGCCGAATTCTCGTACTGAACATATTTCACACAGTGTAAGTTGTACACTAAGCTTTGTACCGTTCCCCAGTGATGTATAAATAAACACAAAACTTATAAGCAGGTAGATATTTCTATTTCTGGCTAACCAAGGCCATTAGGCTCGTCTGAATTCTCCCCTAGCGGTCAGGGCCGCATCCACCCGCAGGTAAACATACCACAGTAATGAACTGACCCTTACGAGGAACCGCTGCTTGAACTGCCGAGTATCAGGAGACAAACCGGTCCTCAGACTGCAGAAATTTACGTAGGACGTGAAGGGTTCTGACGATGCTGCATAGCACTGGGGTTTTGCACTTTGGGTCAGATCCCGTTTCTAGAATACCGGACGATGGACAAAGCCCAGTAATTCTGAGTGCATAATTTTCGTGCTTGCTTGCTGCATGCTTGATCGTGTTTTTCTTCAACCCTGACGATGGGAGCAGTACCCACGGCAGTATAAATCTACCAGACTGAGACGTCACATGCTTCACAGTCCCCACTGTCGAGAATCCCAGACCTCACGGCGGTGCTGTCGTCTGGAATGGACGTGACGCCGTCTATATTTCCTGGGCTACTCTACGGTCCCGTGATTAATTGGAAAGGTTTCGGAAGGCGCCGGTCGTGCCCTATCCCGGCATACGGTTGGAGAGACCGAAGAAAACCATGAAATACCTCAGGCAGCATCATCAGCGTCCAAGCACAGATTCGAACCGAATACTCCAGTACCGAAGTGCATAGCACTGCCGTTAGCCCAATCTGCTCAGTGACACCGTGCAGTATAATACCGACGTTTCTGAGGATAATGCTGCCTCCATCTTCAGGACGACGGAATTTTGATCTTCTGTTTAACTGACAGTTGTATAATCTGGGGGGCGGGGAGGGGGGCTCAAGCGCAAGCAATTCGATTCTGATGAATTTAAATGGGCTGGGCTGCATGAGTAGCACGCAGTAGCAACTTGGAACTCAGCTGCTTGAATACAGCTGCCCCATTCCTTACAGGACTACGAGTGTCCTCTCTTCCGCTGTGCCGAATGACGAACGAAGAATCGCCGCTCAGGCATTGAACTCCCTTACGAAATCCGAATCATCAAATTCACGATTGACGAGACAGCACTACTTCCAACAGTTCGTGCATTGGTCTGCTACGGGAATATGTTTGGCGAGCCGTTGGCTAGCAATGAACTGGTTAGTTTTCACGGGAACGTCTTACCGAACCGTTGCTCAGCAATGGACTGTTTCGGCTTGTTGTCACGGAAACGTGTGTTAGCGGGCCGTTAGCTAGCAATGGACTATTCAGGCTTTCAGGCGTCATGTCACAATACTATTTATATGCGCAGGCGTAATCAGAGCTCACACCGCGCAAGGGACACAGGCGTCTGGAGGTCCGCACTTCAATGAACGGACAAGCCCCTTTCAGCCCACATACAGTCAATGCGTGTGTGAGTGGAACCAAATTAGAACTGTCTTCATATATTCAAGGCTCTACTTACATCAGGACGAAGCTATTTTGGCACCACGAGAGCGCAATGACGGAGCGAACAATGCCAATGTTACGGGGCCCGCACGGTGAAAGCTGCGCAAAACGGGAAGCTATGAAGCAAGAAATTCCGTTCTACGCGTTTCCGTTTCTTTAGCTTTCTTAAAGACTATTCCCACGGAGCAGAGCCCTATTCGATAAGCTGACAGTCCCTGATCTAGATAATAAATTCCTTTTACGAACCTCGTATGTTCATTGCCGTGTTCACAACAGCCCCCAGTGGCCCCCCTTTCCTGAGCCAAATAAATCCTTTCACACCTTCACAACCTACTTCTTGAACAACCATTTTAATATTATGCTTCGGCCTATGCCGGGGCTACTTATGATTTTGGATGAAAATGTAAATACGCATTCCTCACCTCTCACTGCATACTACACGTCTCGCCCATCTCATCTTCTTTGACTTTGAAGAGTACTATATCTGCGTCACGGACGACACCGTGTGATCTGGTAGAAGTTTATCCACGTTTCGGAAGAATATACTGCCTCCACCTTCAGGGTCGAGGAGTGAGCCAAACAAGCAACATGTAAAAAGAACACTTCCACCGGACTAAACGACGTCATGACGTCACATCCCAAATGACAGTACTCTTCAAGGTCACTCCGTGAGAACCCGAGATCCTCTGGTCAAGGTATGGAAAATGGACACTGGGACAATAGACGACCGTGGCGAGGTATAACGCCAAGACGAAAAGAAAGTTCCTTCTAAAATCTTCATCAATATTGGTTTTCCCGCATTTAAATATCGGACAGAATGCAAATTACAGTACAACCGACCTGCCCTTACCTCAAGGAACAGAAACTGGGATATTTTTGGACGGCCCACTCTGGTCGCTTGAAACAAAAGACACGCTGAAACGATCGACAAATAATTCCAGCAATTACATGCGAAACCAAAATTAGTTTCATTTTTCAGTCCCTTTGAACAAAATCTCCAAATTACAGGCGCCACTCGCTGACTACCGGCTCACCGTGTGAGGCCCAGATGTCTGCAAGTTAGGCCTGTCCTAACGGTCACGACTATTTTCTGGAATGTGACACCGTGCAGCCTATGGCAGAAGGATACCGACGTTTCGAAGGAACATACTGTATCCATCTTCTTCCTCGTATACAGAAATAGCACGTTCTTCCGAAACGCTGATAAGGATTTACTAGCCTACACGGCGTCACCTCCCGGAAGACAGTAACCCTTCTGTTAAATGACTCCATTTCACTCTTTCCAACTGCACATACTCCTAAATGGGTCGGGGAGTGAGGCTAACCACTCACGTATATCTCGTGCCGAGGTCAAGAATGGTGAAGCTAATACCTCCACCCCTAACTTTACTTTCCCTCCTTTAACACACAAGAACTCTGCATTGTGTTCCGCATGTTTGTCACTAAGTAGAGTATTTCCCTAAACAGCATTAACGGGCTGGTCATTGTTATGGAGTGTTTCCTGTGAGGTACGGACTGAAATTATGTATAAATGAGTTAGATGAATGTCAGTGTGAATGGTCCCCCCAGTTAAATGTGTTTTTGTCAATCACCGATATGCGCGGAGCTGTTTCCACACAGCTTCACTACTGGTCAGTGATTCGCTACGATGCGCCACAAACGCATATGAAAAAAAGAGGGGGGGGGCTTAATGCGCAGTGTAAACGAATGCTAAACGTGACGCCCAGCAGAGCACACGATCCCCACTAAATCAGTCCAAACGTGCGCCTGCTAAGATTACCGAGTGACGTCAGCAGACCGCGTCCCGAATATTCCGCGGCTGCCACAAACGTTGAGGCGCCCTCTCCCCATCAGCACACCTGTGGGATGTCCGTCTGTACGCATGAAACGATTCGATAACCGCTGAACGGATTTTCACGAAATCGGATGCTTTATAAGGTTCGCTAAAAGTTGTCAAGACGTCCTAATTTTGATATAAATCGGACAAGAATAACGGACACTTGACATGGACACCTACGCGCACCTCGAGAGTAGCTCAGTAAACATTAACGGGGCGAAACATGCAACAAATAAAATCTGTAGGGAAAATGAAATAAGGGTTATATCAGTTCAGAATCTTTCGTCTTCTCGTCTGCTGCTAGAAACGTAGAAAAACTATAATTTGGTCCGTTGTTTTGTGTGAGTGTGAAATTTGGTCTCTCTTGCGTTAAGGGATGAACACAGATTGAGGGTGCTGACGACAATGTTGGGATGAATTAACATGAGGCCAAAGAAAGTTGTACAGCGAGAAACTTAATGCCTTGTTCACCTCACCAATTATTATTAAGGTAAAACTGTCACTGTGCGTAACTAATTAAGCACTACGCCATGAAGACGCGTGGGGGGAGTGGATGTATAGAC